AGGGATTCCTTGGGTTCTCCTTTCCTTGCTGCAATCAGGGATTCCTTGGGTTCTCCTTTCCTTGTGGAAATCAGGGATTCCTTGGGTTCTCCTTTTCCTTGTTGGAATCAGGGATTCCTTGGGTTCTCCTCCTTTTCCTTTCTGCAATCAGGGATTCCTTGGGTTCTCCTCCTTTCCTTGTTGCAATCAGGGATTCCTTGGGTTCTCCTTTTCCTTGTTGGAATCAGGAATTCCTTGGGTTCTCCTTTTCCTTTCTGCAATCAGGGATTCCTTGGGTTCTCCTTTCCTTGTTGGAATCAGGGATTCCTTGGGTTCTCCATTCCTCCTTTTCCTTGTTGGAATCAGGGATTCCTTGGGTTCTCCTTTTCCTTGCTGCAATCAGGGATTCCTTGGGTTCTCCTTTCCTTGTTGGAATCAGGAATTCCTTGGGTTCTCCTCCTTTTCCTTGCTGGAATCAGGAATTCCCTTTTCCTTTTCCTTTTCCCTTTTCCCTTTTCCCTTTTCCCTTTTCCTTTCCCATTCTGGAATCAGGAATTCCCTGGGTTCTCCTCCTTTTCCTTGTTGGAATCAGGGCTCCCTTTTCCCTTTTCCCTTTTCCCTTTTCCCTTTTCCCCTTTCCCTTTCCCTTTCCCTTTCCCTTTCCCTTTCTGGAATCAGGAATTCCTTGGGTTCCCCATTCCTCCTCTGTCTTGCTGCAATCAGGAATTCCTTGGGTTCTCCTTTTCCTTCTTAGGATCAGGGCTTCCTGGGGTTCTCTGCTGTTATTTTGGTCTTGTTTTGGTGTTCCTCTGCTGTTATTTTGCTGTTGTTTTGGTGTTGCTTTGGCGTAACCTGGCTGTTGTTTTGGTGTTATTTTGGTGTTCCTCTGCTGTTATTTTGCCATTCCTTTGAGGCATGAATGGCCTTTGGGGTGCTGTCCCAGGGCTGATCCCCCACCAGGGTCACCCCTGAGCTCCCCTCCCTGCTGTCCCCAGGACCTGATTGATGAGTGGATCGCCAAGGAGGCCAAGAGATCCAACAGCAACAAGACCATGGATCCCAGCTGCCTCAAGTGGACCCCTCCCAAGGGCACCTAGGTGTCCCCAGCAGAGGAGGATGCATGTGCTGGGCTCTGCAGTGTCCCCAGGGCGGGTCACCGGGCTGGCCTGGCCTGGCCTGGCCCCGTGTCCCCACAGTTCTGAGGAACTCGGCAGTTTCGGCCTCAGTGAGGCCGCGAGGACTGGAGGGCTCTGGGTGCCCCAGGGAGCTGAGGAGCTGTGGCTGCTGGGCCTGTCCCTGTCCCTGCTGTCCTGCTCCGTCCCTCTGTCCCTCCTGGGCTCAGCCCTGGCCCTGGGACAGCGCTGGAAATGCTTCTGTGGGGCAGCCCTGCTGGCACTGCTCTGCCCCATGCCTGCAATAGCTGTAGTGGCATCCTTGCCCTTCTCCCAGCAGTTTTCCCTAGGACCCAGCAGATCTTCACTTAGTTCCTGTTGTACAGCCAGAATTGCACTTCCTGCACCTGAGGGAGTCCCTGGGTGTCCCTGCCACCCCTCCTGGAGCCACCCCAGCCCTGCTGGAAGCACCTCTGGATAGAATTCCCATTTTTTTCCTGGTGTGTATCTCGTGGAATTGCTGAGTTCCTGTACATAAAGCACCTGCTGAGTGTATTTCCCCTGGAGATGTTTTTCCCAGAGCAGCCTTCCTGGAATTGCAGGTCCCTTTTTATTGGAGTTGGTTTTTTTTTTTCCCCTCCAGGCTGAAGGAATCCAAACTTTGGCCTTTTCCAAAGAGCCACAGGAACTCCCAGCCCCAATTCCAGGAGCTGTTGGGCTGCTGTGCTCCAGGGAGGGATGGAATCCCTGGTAGAGCAAAAAAAAAAAAAAAGAAAAAAAGCTTTGATTCCTCCCTCCCATCAGCAGAAATATCCCAGAATGGCTCCCAGTAAAACCACTGTCCTTGTGCCACCCGTCCCTGGGTGGCTCCAGTGTCACTGACAGAGGGACAGCCTGGGAAGGGCTGATTTCAGTGATCCCAGGGCTGATCTGTGATCCCAGGGCTGAATTCAGTGATCCCAGTGCTGATTTGTGATCCCAGGGCTGATTTCAGTCATCCCAGTGCTGATTTGTGATCCCAGTACTGATTCCTCCATCCCAGTGCTGAATTCAGTGATCCCAGTGCTGATCTCAGTGATCCCAGTGCTGAATTCAGTGATCCCAGTGCTGAATTCAGTGATCCCAGTGCTGATT